CTGTAACAACCCACATTTTACATTGTGAAATTTTTCTTCATTCAATGATCAACTTCCCTTAAGACTTTGCTTCCTTTTTTGTGGCTCTTCAGAGCCTTCAAACAGGTGTTTTTAGTATTTTGTCTACAGATTGTATTTTTGTCTGCTGATAGGTTTAGTTAGATACAAACTATTCTTTGTTGGAAGCAGAACTTTCCTACTCCTTTAATAAAGTGACTTTGAGAAACGAAAGTGTGGTTATTGTTTCTAAATTGCAGTGACCTGTATTGGTGCTAATATCACTTGGCCAAAGGGTGGTTATGGTATGCAAAATTAGCATATTCCAAAGTCCCGAGAGCAGAGCTGTGACAGGCTTCTAGTCTAATATGTGATCTGACTTTTTAGGAGCATTTGAATATTCAGTCACCAAGCAGATTTTGTGGCTGTCATAAAACATTGCAATTTTTAAAATATATATTTCCAAGGATGTATAGCCAGTGAGTAGAAGAACTCCATTTCAGTCAGTATTAAAGGCGGGGAAAAATCTCTTCTTACTCAGGAATTTGAGTCTGGTGCTCCATGGGATGCAGCACTGAAGAGCTAATGAAATCATTATCTCTGATTGACTGCACTGCACACTCAGGGCAAGCTTTAGGGTCACATTACCACTGCTGCAGAAAGAATGAAGGAATTCACAGTCTACTGGATTAAGTGGAAAACTTGAAGAAAGAATGACAGGATTGGAACTTGTGTTTTCAGATAATGGTAGAAATTAAAATTCATAGGCATGCTGTAATTGAGCTAACATAATTTCTTCTATCTAACAGCCTTAGGGTTGAGGTAGTTCTAAATTAAATTCACTGTTTAATCTAGCATGAGTTGAGTTGATATTCTTGCCACATTTCTATTTGAGAATTAAGCTGTTGATCAGGAAAGTGAGATCAGCTATCCCAAACTGTACTTCAAAGAGTCCTTCCAAGGAAAGGTTGCCTCCTAAGTGATGCTGTAGCAATCCTAAGGAAACATTAATTTTTTGAAAATATTTGTTTTGGTGGGTATCTTATAATCAGAATACATAATATATTCAGAATATATAATATCTATAATATAAAATATATGCTGTATATCCTGATTTTTTATTTAAGACATATAAATGTATTGTGTATAAATGATCATGTTTAATGTTGAGAGCTAGGAGATCTTTAAAAAAAAATCATTGAGAAACAATTTAAACCTGTATCCCAGAATGTGACATGTTACACCAAGGGTTGGCTAGCTACAGCCTGTAGACCCATGGGTATATTATTTCTCCAGAATCGTTTGCCAATCTCTGTGTTACACCATATTTGGTGATGGGGATGCAAAATAATCAAGGATTCTGCGCCCATGCAGCTTACAATCAAGGGTTTCTCCTTAGGGAATTGGCCATATATAGCTCCTCTTTTTTTTTTCTTCCCTCCCTCCCTCTTCCCCCTCCTTCCCCCTCCTTTCCCCCCTCCCTCCCCCCCTCCTTCCCTCCTTCCCTCCTTCCCTCCTTCCCTCCCTCCCTCCCTCCCTCCTTCCTTCCTTCCTTCCCTCCCTCCCTCCCTCCTTCCTTCCTTCTTTCCTTCCTCTTTCTCTCCTTCCCTCCTTCCCTCCTCCTTCTCGCCTTCCTTCCTTCATTCTTCCTTCTTCTTTCCTTCCTTCCTTCCTCCCTCCCTCCCTCATCCTTTCTTTCTAGACTCTGCTAAAATGTAAACATGTCTAATAAGAATCTTTTAATTGTTCATAAGTTTTTGCCTTTTCTCTTATGTTTACTTTTTAATTTTAAAATAATGACAGCATTGTGTATCTACTGACATTGCTGTGTAACAAATCATCCCAACCTAAGTGGCTTAAACCAAGAACCATTTATGATTTCTCATGAGTCAGAGTCAGCTGGGGAGCAGTTGATTAAATCTTGGCTTAACTGGGAGTGACTCTGCTCCATGTATTTCTCATCATCCTTCTGCTGTCAGCCTGGATAAGTCCTTCTTATGGTGATGGCAGAAAGCAAGTTGAGACACAACAAGACCTCTTGAAGTCTAGTTTGGGACTTGCCTACCATCATTTCTAACTCATTTTATTGGCCAAAAAAAAAAAAAAAAAAAAAAATGTGACTGAACCCAAAGAGTGGGAAAGTATGTCCCCCCTCAGTGGGAGGGTCCTGGAAAAGTTACATGGCAAAGGGTGTGAAAATTTGGGGTTAATAATACAGTCCATCAAAATGTGGTATAGTATCAATATATAGCCTACAACCAGCATTAGGAGCTGAGTTACATCTCAAGTATTGTAATGCATATTGCTTTTATATGTATCAAAGATCTGGACAGCATGGCCTCATTCCTCAGAAGTCATTCTGTAAGGGTACCAGGAGTATGAGGATCCTAAATCCCTTCAATTTAGTTAGTATGTATCAAATGCCTTATCTGTGCCTAACACTATATTAAGTTATGGGGCTTTAGGAGCTTTAAGTCAGCGGTAAACACAGACCATGGACAAGTACTTAGAAGATGGTGTGAGAGTTCTAATAGTTGAAGTATATATTGGGTATATAGGTAGCAACAGAAAAGAGGAATAATTATCTCTGTGAAAAGGCATAGAAAGCTGTGTGGAGGAGATACTCATATTAAATCTTGAAAGATGAATGGCCAGATGCGGTGGCTAATGCCTATGTCTCAGCACTTTGGGAGGCTTAGGTGGGAAGATTACTTGAGCCCAGGAGTTTGAGAACAGCCTGGCCAACATGATGAGACTCCATCTCTACAAAAAAAAAAAAAAATTGTTTTTAAAGTAGCCAGGGGCAGCGGTGCACGCTTGTAGTCCCAGCTACTCAAGAGGCTGAAGTGGGAGGATCACTTGAAGCTGCAGTGAGCAGTGATCATGCCACTGCACTCCAGCCTGGGTGACAGAGCAAGACCCTGTCGCAGAAAAAAAAAAAAAAAGATACATCTTGAAGGCTGGAGAAGTCAGCATTCCCTACAGAACAAGTTTGTAGAGAAGTACTAGTTGTAGGAAATATAATGGCAGTCTGTTAACTCTTAGAAATTAAGTACTGTAATTAAAATCTCTTGTTTCTACCCAGATGATAGAAAAGTCTCCAAGAGCCAGTGAGTAACTTTATATTTTACTCCCCCTTACATTATTTTTATTGCAGTTCTCAAATGTTGGCATGCATCAGAATCGCCTGGAGAACTTGTTGAAACACGGAGTGCTGGACCCTCCCCCCAGAGTTTCATAGTCAGTAGGTCTGGAATAAGACCAGAGAATTTGTATTTTGAACAAGTTCTCAGATGATTCTGATGGTGCTGGTCCAGGGATAACACTGTGAAAACCATTGCTTTATTGAATCCTTCCTGTGTATCTGGTAACCTGTAATGTGCTGAGTGTATAAAGATGAAAAGAAAACATCTCTGCCCTAAAATTGTTTATAATAGGGTGGTGGGAGACAGGCAAGTAAATGTATAATGATAGCACAATGGAAAGCATGCTGCGATACATGGAAGTACAGGTTGTGGTGAGAATACACCAAAGTGCATCTAACACAGAGTGAGGCCAAAAGCTGCAGAGGTGTGTAAGACCCAGCAAAAACCCTTAGTCCTGAGCTGAGTTTTTAAAAATTATCATAAAACAAAAAGTAGTTACAAATAGAAAAATGACTTTGAATCATGCTTTGCATGAGATTGGTAAATTGATTCCTCTTTAATGTTGCCTTTAAGATCAAAATTCTTTAGGAAGCTGTTGGTCCTATAGGTGGGGCAATACAACTCTGCATTATTTTGCAAACAAAAGATATCCTTTCCTTTGTTATTTTGTTTTACTCTTCATCAGCAATTTTTTAAGATGCCAGAGAAAGATGTTGTATTTATCATGTGTGATTCAACATTTTCACAAAAACTGCTAGAAACTTTATGTATGTCAAAATACAGACCAAACTAGACAAGAACAGGAACAATCACAGCTAGTGAAACAGAGCTGGTTCGGCAGCTTGACCTGGGAATTTAGGTGCTGAGTCCATAGGTGAACAGGATCAGCTATCCATTGCAGTTGTAGGTTAGTGTGAGGCCATGAGACAAAGTGACATCTTTGCCTCCAGAACAGCACTGATGCAATGGATAGGTTATGGACTTGGGCAGGACTATAGATAGCTTTCACTTGGACACAATAAACTGGGTGAGGGGGTTGGGCAGGAATGAATTATAGGTATACTTGAGGCGGGCTGCTCATTGGTCAGTTCTTTGAGTTATATGCCCCCAAAATGGAAGCGAGAACATGACAAATGGCTGGGCTAGTTTTGAGAAAGAGATTTACACCCGTGAGGTTGTCTTGGCAATAAAGACATTCTGCCTTTTTAATGAAGCAGCCCTGAACTATACTGTCATCACAACCTAAAGAGATAACACCTTTATAAGGAAATAATGGTTTGTGAAGCTTCTGGCTGTATATTTATTTACAATTTTAAATTGAAAGCGTATCCCTAAAACCATGTAGAATATTTCATTTTATTTTATTTTTTTGAGATGGAGTCCCGCTCTGTCACCCAGGCTGGAGTGCACTGACGTGATCTTGGCTCACTGCAACTTCCGCCTCCCAGGTTCAAGTGATTCTCCTCCCTCAGCCTCCCAAGTAGCTGCGATTACAGGCATGTGCTGCCACAATCGGCTAATTTTTGTGTTTTTAGTAGAGACGGGGTTTCACTATATTGACCAGGCTGGTCCTGACCTCCTGACCTCAAGTGATCCGCCTGCCTTGGCCTCCGAAAGTGCTGGGATTACAGGCGTGAGCCACCATGCCTGGCCTGAATATTTCATTTTAAACAATTATACTCTACCTGGTAAAGGGAGCTCAAGTCCAGAAGAAATTATAAATAGAATGCTCAAACTTTAAAAGGATGTAGTACAATATATTGTTATTGAAGAATTGGTAATGATAATTATTTGTACCCTTTTTACTTGTCCTTTTATAATATAATTTAACAATGAATCTTGTAAACTTTTTCTTAGCATACATCTGTGGATGGATATACTGAACCGCACATCCAGCCTACCAAGTCGAGTAGCAGACAGAACATCCCCCGGTGTAGAAACTCCATTACATCAGCAACAGATGAACAGCCTCACATTGGAAATTACCGTTTACAAAAAACAATAGGGAAGGGAAATTTTGCCAAAGTCAAATTGGCAAGACACGTTCTAACTGGTAGAGAGGTAAGTTTGCACAATGCCTTTTAATATCTGCCTGGACCTCTCTGGAGTCTTGTTAAAGCTTCCCTATAGCTCATGTTTGGGAGTAAATGACAGTTTCAATATGGTAAACACTGGGGTATGTGTGAATGGAACATTAGTAGGCAGAGGTTTATCATGGCATAAAGGTTGACCTTTTAATATCTAGAAAAGAATCATTCATACATATTAGCATCTTATCAATCAGGTGTAATGCAGATGAGCTTTCCTCAGATGTTGACTTTCATTATATGATTTCTGTGAACGTTTCTGATTTCCATTGCTGCCCAACCCTCGGGAACAAAAGTTCTTGCTGCTTGAGATAAGTTAGGTATAAATACATAGAAAGTCACCTGCTAATTTGTATGTATTTAGAGACTACATTGAGCAAGTACTTCTGTGTGGGTGGTTTTCTCAGGTAATAAGATAATTGGATTTCTAAAATCTCATGTGTTTTAACTTATATGTATTTATATAGTAAGAATTTATATACTTGCACATATGTATATTGTGTATATATACCTGTATGCTAGGGTTAAAGACTTTATTTGAATAAATGTGTAACATTTTGTATTACATAACATTTACTAGATCTGATTAGGACATTATATAAAAAAAAAATCTTAATCAGGCCCAATGCAGTGACTCATGCCTGCAATCCCAGCACCTTGGGAGGCTGAGGTGGGCATAATTGCTTGAGGCCAGGAGTTCAAGACCAGCCTGGGCAACATGGCAAAACCCTGGCTCTACAAAAAATACAAAAATTAGCTAGGCATGGTAGTGTGCAACTGTAGTCCCAGCTACTTGGGAGCTTGAGGTGAGGGTCACTTGAGCCCAGGAGGTCAAGGCTGCAGCGAACTGTGATAACACCACTGCACTCCAGCCTTAGCAACAGAATGAGATCCTGTCTCAAAAAAAAAAAAAAAAAAAAAAAAAAAACTCAATAAAAATATTTTTAATAAATTTTCACTTTGCTCTATATATAATATTATTGTCGTTTCCCATTGAATTTGGTTCCTTCTGTCTATTCTGACCCTAGGAGCCATTCAGAGACAGGGAATACTGGGCAGAGCCTTAGATATTCAGGTCCGTTTTGTCAGTTTGCTCTAAGTGAGCTTGGATATCCAATCTCTCTACCAGCAGAATCGTTTTATTCACATAATATTTAACTTACTGCAAGTTTACAAGCCACTTCCCCCCTATAATTGTTGCTTATCAAGATCATGAGTAAAAGGTTAAGATACAGGATGATTTTTACTTTAAAGAAGGAAACTTAGAAGAAATAGCAACGCTTTCATTTCATCAACTCAGGATCAAAAGATTAAAGACTTGGGTCAATGGAGTATATTCTAAGGCTGCCAAATTATCAAAACGTTACTATCTGATTATTTGAATACCTAAAAAGAGCGAAATGATATCTAGTTAGGAATGAAACAAAAGTTGGGTCTTTTGTAAGTTTTATTAATTAAAATATGCCTTTTTCAAACAGAGTTTAATGATTCTTTTTTTTTTTTAGGTTGCTGTGAAAATAATAGACAAAACTCAGCTAAATCCTACCAGTCTACAAAAGGTATTTAATTAATTTAATAAGTAATTAGAATGTGAGTTTATCATTAATATATGATGTTCTGTAAAATCATTCTAAATTTTCTGTTAGCTACAATTCTACATTTCATCAATATGTGAAGAAAAGACATGATACAAAATGTAATGTTTATGACTTACCAAGTAGTTGCTTGAAAACTATCTACTACTTAAATACGTGTACCATATGAAAGAAATTTATCTCTTCTATTCAATAGAATAAAACCTTGTATCATACATATTCAGGATTTGAGATATTCAAATATTTTGAAGTATTTTCAAGTATTCAGAATTGACGTCTAAAAATTAGATTTATATTAAATGAATAATCCACTTACTGATAGTATCTGGTGTCTTAGCTGTTATATAAAATGACAAATGGTGGCCTAAGCCATTTAAACTTTTGTGAATTTTCAGATGAAGTCCAGAGACCTTGCTGATAAGCTTTTTAATTAAAAATCTAGTTAGAAGTTAATATTGTTCATAGGTGAGTTTCCTTTTATTGCTTCATTTGCTCTTCTTCCTTCTTCCACAAGAACTACTAGTCTTTCAGATAACTCACAGTAAAAAATAAGAATGTTTCTTTAAAGGATGAAAATATGAAACAACATAGAGAGAAAAGAAAGCAGTTAGGACGGGGATTGCCTTAGCAAACCAAAGTTATTTCATGTTACTTCATTAATTACTTAAATGAGAAAATTTTCTCAGATGTGCATTTTAGTACTTTAAAAATGAAACGAATGTTTTAACATTTATGCCATATATGATAGGTTTGTATAGAGTGAGAGAATGTACATTGTGACTTTTATTAGAATATAATGGGACCATTGTCACATATGTAATTTTAACACAAACAACTTTGAATTCCTAAAACAGAAAGAATCTTATAAGAAATTGTTAGTATGCTGTGCTTACATCTGCTATGATTGTAGCATTAGATAAAAAATTTAGGTTTGTGTTTTTCAAACTTTCTTCTCATTTGGCTCAGTCCCAAATTTCTTCTTAGAGCTCTGCCTCTGTACTTATTGGAGATTCTTTTGAAAATTTGACAACCAGTTTAACTTTTCATAACACTGATATTTCTGCCCAGTAAGAACATGAAAACTTTGCTGGGTTCTATTTTTTCCGTGAATGTGAGATAATGTATTCTAAGTTTCTTCTGGGAGAAAGTCTCTTCTTCTAGCATCAGTCTTTTTGCTGACCATGATGCATTTGTGTAAGTGACAAAAAGACATCTTCCCTGGACCAATTAACTACGCAAAGATGCTGTTTTTTACTGGGCTAGAACCACAGTGGGATATGTCTTTGCCCACCCGTGTGCTGGGAACCCATTTAAAATGCACAGACTGCGTAACTGTACACAGCGTCCTTGTCCATGGCTCACCTAGCTTTTCTACTTTTCCTGTATTTAGCTGTGGATTACCCTAGCAAACTGAGTGATTTTAAGTGGCATCTAGAACTACTCAGGCCTGTTGTGCTAGCTGGAATACACAGTAATGCGACTCCTACTCTGTCTTTTCCAAGGTTGTATAAACAAAATTGTACTTACTGAAACATGTGAACATGAGACTGAATGTTGCTTTCTTTATCTGAATAACTAAAATGTGTACTTCTTGATGATAAGTAATTTCTGTCATATAGTCTACTGATCTTGTTGATAAAGTATTGCTTTTCCAAATAGGCATATAAAAAATGATACAATTTTGTTTTCTTTAACCTGTGAAAGTAAAAATAAAGATGAAGACTCACTAAATGTAGCCAGTACACTGTGTGTGTGTGTGATTGTTTTTTAAGTGATTTACATGTATGTTCATAGATTTGCTTTCTTTTAGAAGTTCTGAAGAAAAAACAGATCAAATCTTCACTAACTCTCATGTGTTTAGAACATTCAGCATTTGACCTTTCCCATTTAGGCAGTGGCATCTCCCAGTCAGTCATACCTAGAAAGTAATGGAATGTAAAACAATCCATTTTTCCCTAGCATTGAAAAAGATAGTAAAATTTGCTTCCATGTCTTAGGTATACTCATTAAAAGGCAGGTAATTATCGCACATTTATATGAAATAAGGATTCATTGTAATCTCACTTCTAGAAGTGTTTGGGTAAATTTGTTCTGGTTTGATCTGAATTTAAGCTGATCCCTCTCCTTTACCCTCTTCTGTGTATCAGATATTTATAGGAATTATTGCCTTCCTTTGCAAACATCAATGATAGATAAAATAATCTAAAGTTGATACACCAACTGCTTAACACTGCCAAAATACAAAGCTCTTAAACGTGTTTGGTTTTTGGAATTGTTAAGTATCTTTGGCTTTAATATTGTTCCCATAATATGCTCATATTATTTGTATTACATATTTTGAATTAGTGGAATCCAATTTAATTAGTTTTCATAGTTAAAAAGTATTTAAGGTACATACTATTTTTAGTTCTTCCTCTTCAAAGCATTAGTTCTGCCTCATATAATAATGTATTTTAAAAGAGGGTCCATGAACCATACTAGTGATTCCTGGTGTTTGTTTGTTTGTTTGTTTGTTTGTTTTGAGACAGAGTCTCTCTCTGTCGCCTAGGCTGGAGTTCAGTGGCGCTATCTTGGCTCACTGCAACCTCCACCTCCCAAGCTCAAGCAATTCTCCTGCCTCAGCCTCCTGAGTAGCTGGGACTGCAGGCACACGCACCACACCCGGCTAATTTTAATTTTTATTTATTTATTTATTTATTTATTTATTTATTTTTTTTTTTAAATTTATTTATTATTATTAAACTTCAAGTTGTAGGGTACATGTGCACAACGTGCAGGTTTGCTACATATGTATACTTGTGCCATGTTGGTGTGCTGCACCCATCAACTCGTCATTTTTTTTTTTTTTTAATAGAGACGGGGATTCACCATGTTGGCCAGGATGGTCTCAATCTCCTGACCTCGTGGTCTACCCACCTCGGCCTCCCAAAGTGTTGGGATTACAAGCATGAGCCACCACACCCAGCCTCGTGGGGTTCTTTTAAGCAGCCTACTAATGTTGAAGGAAAAGCAAAATAATGAAACAATATTTTTCATAGTTCATAAATTTGAAATGTTGTAGGATCATTTTCTCAGAGATATCACTAGTTTTGAAACTCAGACACATCAATTTATGCAAAGATGGCAAAGTTTGTGTCAAGTCTGTCTCAGCTTATAGTCACCAGGGTGCAGTTAATCTCTGCTAACATTTTTGTATCTTCCGTGTATTACTTATTAATTTACATTTTCCGTTGTTTTACTGTGTTATTTTATGTTCCAAATTCACAAAAGTGGCTAAGTAGTTCAGAAGTGATTTCCTAACTAGTAAAATCTGTAATGAAAATAAAAACAAGACTTACTACAACTCAGAATTATGTCATTATATAATAGATGACTGCTGCATTAAAGTTTTATAGAATGTGAATCGCTTTGCTAGGACAGTGATTTTACACAAACAGGAAAAGGGTAAAAAATTTAAATTATTGAATTCTGAAAATTAGACTTTATTAAATGAATTATCAATTTACCACTCATGTCTGGTGTGTTACTTGTTATATAAAATGTTGTCAAATGGTGGCCTAAGCCATTTAAACTTTTGTGAGTTTTTGAATAAAGCTCAGAGACCTCTCTGGTAAGCTAATTAAGTTTTCCAGAATATCTGCAAAATAATCTTTGTCATGTTGAAGAATTTCATAGTGAAAGGTAGAGAGGAGAACAGAACCATGGGAGCAATATTCAGAATTCAATATGTTTTAGCCAATTATCAGAAACCAAACTTGTAAAACCAATCACAAAATTATTGACAAATATTTTTATCAAGGAGTGAGCAGAAGAAGTGCTTTGGAAGTATTCCTTAACAAATGTTACTATTGGACATATATTGAAATATCAGCTACTCTCACATATACACGCTATATAGCATATTTCACTTTATAGCTAAACAAAACCACTTATGTGCTGAGTAATTCTTTCATACAGTTCTTGTCACGTGTGTGGATCATTTGAAGGAACAATTTGACTAGTTCTTACGTGGGCCAACAAAAACATAAGTGATAAGAGAATTATTATTTTGTGAAATGGTATGTAGACTGCATATCTTTTAATCAATAATGATGAAATACCCCTAGAGCTTTTTTGAAGGTTAAAGGTGGGGATATTCTGCAAGGAATAATACTACCATGTGAATAAATAAGATTATGCCTAATACCCAGTTACCCACTATTTCCTTCTCCATGAAATTAGTGGTCGGCAAGATGCTTTTAATTTTGATTTGGTTTCGGACAAAATACTGAAAACAGGGTTTAACATAAAATCATATGAAGAATTGGTGGGAAGTATACTTTTCACGCTGAAATATGGGGATTTTGAGGGAAAAGGTGTTTAAACAAGTGTTTTAAGGTGATACCAATAATATTAATATCCGGCTAAAATACCAACAGTTTAAATGTTGAGGATGTGATCATCAGATTTGCTGAGAAAAACAAACGGTGCGGTTTAGTGACCAAAAATCTGACTTTTCTAAACCTTGTTAGCCTTCTTTAATTACTGGATAAAGGGCTCAATGACATATAATTGGGCATTTTTAACATACAGATGTGCATCCAAATATGAAGAATATCTTCCAGAGCAAGCATATCCAAAGAGTATATCAAAAATCTGTTTGCTAATATCCCTCAAATTAAAACTTCCAGTCTTTCAGATTTTGAGTTTAATAAGCTCGACAACCTAGAATTTGACAGCCATACATAATCTTCAGGGAGGAATATCTCTTTAAGGTTAGATTCAGTAATCACTCTGAATGTCTTGAGAATTATCTGAAACATTACCTAATGCTTATTCATTTTCCCAATCTATGACTGTGACTTGGGAATTTTCAGTCTTGCTAATTTTATTTCTTATATCTCTTTTGAAAATATCTGCTTTTATCTTTCTCCATCATGACCAGTTTAGACAAAGTCACAATTATCTTCTTGTAGCCTTCTAAC